TTACCGTTATATAACGGTAAGATCACACTAATACCCCAGCTACAAGTTACCTGGATCGATTCGGTCTGTTTACCGTTATATAAGGTAAGATCACACGAACTACCCCAGCTACAAGTTACCTGGATCGATTCGGTCTGTTTACCGTTATATAAGGTAAGATCACACTAACTACCCCAGCTATAAGTTACCTGGATCGATTCGGTCTGTTTACCGTTAGATAAGGTAAGATCACACTAACTACCCCAGCTACAAGTTACCTGGATCGGTTCCGTCTTCTACCATTCACTAGATCCAACACTGTTAACTGTTCATGTATTTAATTAAGCCTATCAGTGTAAATTATCAGTTTACACAGCTAAGTAATCTTACTCTACCATATAGTGTAAAGTGAACTTTTACATCTTGAAGTTTGTTAGATATTGTTTTATTTTCATGATATTTTAGGCACACTACCCCATGAACTAATGTGTAAATACGTTTTCATAGAAAGATTTTTCTTTTTTAGGCCTTGTCAAAAGTCAACAGAGGTTTTACGGAAATGGCTGTGGAAGCTGCTCGTAATAGAGACAAGTGGAAAATTCTTGCCTCTCGACGAACCAGCTTAACAAATGGCAGTACTAATTTGTACGGACAGGAAACTGGTGCTTCATAAGTTTCTACCAAAACTGGACTCTTCCCTTCATTTGTCTGCTATATCATCTTTTTTTTCCTGGTTGATCTTTAATAACATTTCAATAAAACGTAATTTCTTTGTTTCAAATGCTGTGAATAAATAGCATTGAACAAAAACTTTTGTCATTGAAAGTCACCAACTGCCAGTTAAAGTTATTTGTGTTACAAGCCAATGAGAGTACTTAAATATATTGTAAAACCAACCAATGATAATACTTGTATCTTGTAAGGCCAATCAATGAGAGTACTTGTATTTTGAAAAACCAACCAATGAGAGTACTCGTATCTTGTAAGATCAACCAGTAAGAGTGTTTGTGTACTATGGCAAACCGTGATTGAATAATGTTTATTATAATTTGGCATCTTCCTTTTTTTCTTGCTTTCCTTAATATATCATCATGAACTATAAGATTTACTTAAAATGCATTTCAATATCTTTCGCACTTCATGTGAGAGTATCTATTTTCTTGTTATGAATTTTAATACCTTAACTGACAGAAGTTTACCCTCTCAGTGCATAGCTGTATAGTGCATTCTTCTCTCAAGTACAGAAGTTAATAAAATATTCACACCGTTGCCTGACTTAAAAGAGAAATATTTTTCTATTCTGCCGTGTACTTGTTACGATGTAACAAGAACAGTGAGTTGACTAGAGTCCTAATAAACTACTGTATGAAAGTACATTCTTCTCATGGCCTTTACCAATAGTTTATCAAATGTGTATAATGAAACGTCATTCAGATCCAGACTATTATTTTAGCATACATAATATACTCCATAAGGAGGATAATTCCCCTCATTAATCTGGAATATAAAGATGTTTATTTTCAGAGGTTTCACACTGCAAAGAGGGGACAATGTACACTTTGGGAAAACGTTTATTCTGAGCGATAAGTGTTGAGTAGAAATATTTATGCGCGCGCTGTCTCAGCGGTAAGCTCGAGTGCTTATAATGTTAAAATACAGGGTTTGATTTCCACGATGAAACACTGCCCATTGTTCAGCTTTGCGTTTGAACAAAACAAGCAATTCTCTACATCAATACAGAATAAAGAGATGTTCATTGTGGTAGTAAGTTAGTTTTTCGATTCTTTGAACGAATCTTCAAGTAGTGTAAATGTCTCAAACAGATTTGTGTGGACACATAGTTCGACCGAAACTGTCAACAAGCAGGTCACATACACACAAAACTGTTTATTAGTCACTTGGTTTATAGTAGTTTCGGATTGACTATACATTTTTTTTTTCGTACAACCATTCAAGTGATTCTGTAGAGAGATGTGAATATACTTCTTGTTATTCTAATGCTTGTTAGTATCAGTAAATACTCTTAGTGTTTGTTAGTACCAGAAAATGAATCTTCATAATTCTATTGTTTGCTAGAACCAGAAAATAGTTTCATAATTCTACTGTTTGTTGGAACCAGAAAATAAATGTTCATAATTCTACTGTTTGTTGGAACCAGAAAATAAATGTTCATACTTCTACTGTTTGTTAGAACCAAAAAATAGTCTAATAATTCTAATTGTTTGCTAGAACCAGAAAATAGTTTCATAATTCCATTGTTTGCTAGAACCAGAAAATAGTTTCATAATTCTACTGTTTGTTAGAACCAGAAAATAGTCTAATAATTCTACAGTTTGTTATAACCAGAAAATAGTCTAATAATTCTACAGTTTGTTATAACCAGAAAATAGTCTCATAATTCCACTGTTTGTATTAACCAGAAAATAATCTCATAATTCTACTCTTTGTTACTACCAGAAAATAGTCTCATAATTTTACTGTTTGTTAGAACCAGAAAATAGTCTAATAATTCTAGTGTTTGTTAGAACCAAAAAATAGTCCAATCATTTTACTGTTTGTTAGAACCAGAAAATAGTCTCATAATTCTATTGTTTCTTAGAACCAGAAAATAAAGTATCATAATTTTTCTGTTTGTTAGAACCAGAAAATAGTCTCATAATTCTATTGTTTGTTAGAACCAGAAAATAAAGTATCATAATTTTTCTGTTTGTTAGAACCAGAAAATAATCTCATAATTCTATTGTTTGTTAGAACCAGAAAATAAAGTATCATAATTTTCTGTTTGTTAGTACCAACCCATAGTCTCGTAAACCTACTGTTTTTAGAACCAGAAAATAGTCCAATCAATTTACTGTTTGTTAGAACCAGAAAATAGTCTCATAATTCTATTGTTTGTTAGAACCAAAAAGTAGTCCAATCATTTTACTGTTTGTTACTACCAGAATATAGTCTCATAATTCTACTTTTTGTTAGAACCAGAAAATAGTCTAATAATTCTACTCTTTGTTACTACCAGAAAACAAATTCTTGTAACTGTTTGTTTGTTAATACCATTTTTATCGAATTCATTTTAGTTACATAATTTGACGTTTTCAAACAAATAATTTCCGTTGTTTTTAACTTCAAGTAGGGTTTTGAAAAATAACAAATGTATTATTTCAAACCTGTCTGTTTAGAGAAATAAACTATAACGTAAAATACCCCAGTAAACAAAATCGTTCTAATGTTACATTAAAAGCTGATATGTTCATTTCAAACGGTTCTTAGTGTGTAAATATATCTCGTTTTTTATCATAACATGTTACTCAGCCTATACTTGAAAACATACTGAACACATGAATAACATAATTTTTCTGATGACTACTACAAGAAAAGTCAAGCACTGAAAAATATAAACGTTCTAAAAATGTTTGGTGATTTAACCTTCTACACGGAAACTTGTTATACACTATAGAATACAAAATATTTTTGAAGTAAAAGATTGTAACATAAACTATAGGATTTCATCAAGACACACGGTTGTATGTCGTGCGACCAAAACAACTTGCAGGACACACTGTGTTATTAACAGAAATGACAGTTTAGCAGTTTTCCACTTTCTGTAGCTCTGACTTTGGTAACCCTAACTAACACATATTTTCCGTGGATGTGCTCTACTGAACTCTTACTTCACATACCAAATTTCAAGGTAATCCATTGAGAAATGCACGAGATACAAAATATCTAATTTTGATTAAATCTCTTACATTCTTCTTCTTCGCACCGAAAGTACCGAAACTTTATTTGATAGAAAAACAAACTTAACTTTTACGGAATTTTTTAAACTTCGTACACTGATACATCTTCGCAGCCTACAATTAAGTGTCAAATTTTGTCTAAATATAAGCCACGTGTGCAAAGTTATTGAAGAAAAACCGCTCAACTTTTGCGCACGCCTATGCAAAAAGTCACATGAACTATCGGGCTAAAATTTTGACTAAAGCTTCAACTAAGAGTAAAAGTGGACCACTTTAGTTTTTCTCATTCGGATTAAAGACGGCAGATTTAGAGTAGCAAAACTATAAAGTGAAATCACGTGCAGATAAATAAGTATTGGTTAGGCCAAGCAAACTTTATTAGCAGTTTCTAGCTCAAGTTTTCAAAAGAATCATACGAGTGAACGGTTATTATTGATTATTCAATGCCAACTTTTAATCAAAAATTTGCTAAATTTTATTAAATTCTCCTAATTAAAGAGCGTTTAGCGTTACATGACATTAACTTAAGCAATTAATATAAATAAGGCTTGATACGGCTGTACCGAGTGCATGCGGGTGATGACAAGAAGCTGTTAAATTAGTTTCCATGGCGTTACTATAAAGGAAGTTATTAATACTGTTTTAGAGAGGAAAAAGTAACACCGTGTATTTAAAGAATCTGGTTGTTCTCTAAAGTATAGGTCTGTTCCGAATAATAGGGTTCCGATCCTAAAGCTAATGTTGGTTACTATCGAGTGTCACTTTCTTGTTTGTTAGCGTGTATTGACAAAAAGTCATGATATCTAATCAAAAAAATGGTGCGGCCAAAAAATGATTGAGCGTGCGACTTAAAGGAATGAAATCAAAATTGACGGCCAAACTGGTAACTACACGTACAGCATGGATAAAAATTTTCCAGCAAATATTCATTCATTAGTTAGCCAGACCACATATTTTGTTTTACCCACCATCATGCCCAGTAGAACCAATATATACATCAGATTTTAAATAAAAGCTAGAAAACAGGTGAGTTAGCATTTTTAAGGCAAATAAAAAATAGAAGGAAGAAATAAGTAACCGAGGAACAACATAAATAAATATAAACAAATTGATCTGAAACCTGTTGATGAACATTGGGTAAATCCTTTCCATACACATTGTATAAATAGAGTTCTTAGATACAAATTTCACATAAAACAAACAAATGTCTTTCAGATTTATGGTTGGCCCCTCACCAAGGAGGTTCCATTAGCAAAGAAATCTTGTTTATAGTTTTTACAATAAAACTAGGGTATATCCAAAGCTGCAGAAGATAAGCTGAGTATTAAGCAATACCATAAACAGTGCCACCATCGATATTTTAATTTCTGAAGTATTATAATATATATAACTTGTCTTTTTAAGAACACAGTTGTTGTTTTTAATACCACTTTGGTAGTCTGTAGCAAGCGACAGATGTCAGTACCATCTTCCTGTTATGTTAATGAGATAAACAGTGGCTATTGGTAATAAATCTATAACTAGCTGTTGTGTAGTTACAATTCAGAAAACCTGTACCATAAACTATATGTTACGGATTTATTTTCTCTTTCACCAAAAATAAAATAAAAAATACCATCTGTGACCCCATAAACCGTAATGTATACAGTTAGAATGTTAGTTATAATGATATTGAAAATAACTATAGTTCTTAATAAATATTATTTTAAAATATTCATTGTAGATACACTTAAAATAGTATGATACGCAAACACTGGTTAACATGCAATATTTTTCATGGATTTAAAGATTCAAAAATCTGTTAATTACACAGGCCTACGAATTTAAACTTCATAAAAGTTGTTTTGGTTTTAATAACGGATTTTCCATAATTCAGCTGCGCAGATTTCGAAAATATTCATTTTCTTCTATCACGTAAGTATTGTTGCGTATCTGCTTGATTGTTAATTTCCTATAGAAATTCTTTCCGAAAAACTTCAGCGATACAAGTCCTTTCTTAAATAAAACTAGTTTATTCTTTCTCAATACAACTTTGCAATACATAGAATTTCCACAGTCACTTTAACTTAAACACACGCTATAATTCACAACGATTCACGTAGTTTACCTACGGTGCCTACAGCTCGCTTGACTCAATTATCTATCTCTATCTGCCTTTCATTTGCCGGGCTTATATACTAAAATAGAGGGCGTCTGGCAAACACTCGGGCCTTCATGATCCTTCTAGAAACTCATCACGTGTTACCAGGGTCACGTGACTTCCGCTGTCGTAACAGTATTTTTTTGCAAATCGGAAGAAAAAAAAACTCTTACTTAGATCAAATTATTATTTCGTTGATCACAATGAACATAATTTATTATTATGTTTGTTAACAAAACTACAAACAAACTGGAGAAAAATGAGGAACATTGATGTCAAATGAATATACATCCTCATTATCCTAATTTTTGTTGTTGTAAAATCTACATCTTTTACTCTCCAAACTTCTCTTGTAGCTTTTCTTTCATATTTTGCGTTATCACATTTTGTAAAAACTCTGTACGTGATAGAGAAAATGGATCTCATTTTCGGATTCAGCATACAGGTATTACTGAAGAACATGTAAAAATGTCAAGACAATAAAACCATCGTAGGCCTGTGTCATTTTTATACAATACATTTGTCCTTATTTACTCATATATTTATATGTAAGAATACAACACAGTAGACATAACAATAAATCTGTTATTACAACTATTACATATAAATATCATGATTATTTACGTGAATTTTTCTATACGATATTGTGCCGCACCCACTTGACCCAGCAATTCTGACAAGAAAAGTCCTTTCATTAAAGGAAACTATACCTTGCTCACATGTCTGATTGATTTTACAATATTTTGTAAATTAATCCACAAAGATAAACACCTTTCCACATGTAATACTTTAATATCTTCAAATATTTGTAGACGTACTTCTGCAGAGTGTAATTTATGGGTGTTGAAATTGGAGACAGTTTTATTATTTTTTTATTTAGCGGATGCTCTCCTTAATTAGTTAAGTTAATTACCACCTGGATGTTAAATAACTAATTATTTATTCTGCAGTATTCCAGTTTTTAAGCTAATCATCATAGAATTTTGCACATATATATACATATATAGAGAGAGATAGAGAGAGAGCAAAGGCAACATATTGAGAACCAAACTCAAAATCTAATTCTCTCAATCGCAACAAAATTAAAAATTACACTATTTAGCAAACAAAACCAAATAGGATAAAATAGATCCAATATCGCACCAGTAACATAAACACAAAATAAAACCATTAGATATTACACCAATCGTCAAAAAAAAGTGACAAAAGGTATAATTTTAAAGGAAGGGGGCATGAACAGTTAGGAGGAAGATAATGTTCCATTCCTGTAGTAGAAGGTTCTATGGGGAAGAAGCCCAGTTAAGCATTATGAGTGGACATATTCCTGGGCCTTTTAGCCCTCCTCACTCATACATGAAAAGACCAATGAGTCACAAAAACAAAAACAAAAAACAATCATATTAGTGGAAGCTAAAGAAATGCGCAAGCTGTCCTTGAGGTCAGTGCAATGGAAATTCTTGAGGACAGTACCATGGAAATTTTTGAGGACAGTGAAGTGGGAATCCTTGAGGACAGTACAATGAAAATCCTTGAGGACAGTGCAATGGAAATCCTTGAGGACAGTGTAATGGGATTCCTTGAAAATTGTGCATTTGGAGCCCTTGAAGATAGTGCATTGGGAATCCTTGAGGACAGTACAATGGAAATTTTTGAGGACAGTGTAATGGGAATCCTTGAAAATGGTGCAATTGGAACCTTCGAGGACAGTGAAGTGGGAATCCTTGAGGACAATACAATGAAAATCCTTGAGGACAATGCAATGGGAACATCAAAATATAATAGAAAACAAAAGTAAAAAGATAGATCTTCCTTCCTGGTTAGAGCTATGAAACATTTATTTAGAATGGACATCCCATCCAAGATATCTCTAATGCAAAGGAAGAATGTGCATGTAGTGCTGGGAAAGGTACCTGCCAAAGCACCAACTACCAAATGGTATCCTGTGTCCACTTCCATAGTGTATCACTTTCTCATAGAGCACCAGTGGAAAGGCTGAAATTGTATCTAAGAAGAATGCAGTAGTTTAACTAATATGTAAGAGCCTCAACTGAATGAATATATATGAATACCGAATCTTCTAACAGAAGGAAAAACTGCAAATTGTGCATACGTGATGATGGAAAACGCAAGAGTAGACAAGATCATTTTAAAGTCCTGGCAAAAAAAACCCGTATAAACATAGAATTTTCTAAGACTGCTTAACTCTAGATACCCTTCGTTGTTTGGTGGAATATAAATACCTGGATCACCATAAAACATAATTGTGGGTCCAAGCAGCAAATAAGCATTTATTAGAGAATAACTCACCTTCTATTAATTTCATCTGACTTTGAGAATAACAACAGGTT